TATACTGTACTATATTTCACTACACTACACTACACTCTACTCTACTATATTATAATCTAATATATCCTATACAATACATCACTACACTACACTACACCACACTGTCATATTATAATATACTAAAATATACTATACTATACTCTTTACTATACTACACTACACTATACTCTATACTATATTCCACTATATGCTATACTATACTATACTATACTATACTATACTATAGTATACTATACTGTACTATACTATACTATACTATACTATACTATACTGAAACACATCCCACTACAATATACTATAATCTAAACTACACTAAACTGTACTAAACTATACTATACTAGACTACTCTACATGACACTACAATATACTATACTAAACTTTACTAAAGTATACTCTATACTAAACTATACCATACTACACTATACTTTACTAGACTATACTACACTACAGTATACTAAACTAAACTCTATGTTATACTATACTACACTGCTCTACACCATACTACACTATACTAAAATGTATTACATTTCACTACACTATACTTTACACTCAGCACAGAAAAATGGACAAATAAAACTTGAAATACTTGTTTCACAACCGTTGTCTTTGTAGTTTGGCATCATTTGACTGTTTGATTTGGTCTCTTGCAAGAAAAATAGTTATGTTTCTTTCGGCTGCTGCCTTCTACAAGACCACAGGACTGATCGCCAAGCCACCGCGCTCCTATCCCTTGCAACAAGAATGATGTATACATTTTAAATCCAGTTTGCAAACAGTAGCAAGTCTTGTCCTCCTTATTCTATGAGGGTCCATTAGTGTCAAAAACGCACAAACATGTAGTCGTCTGTGGAATTTGACACAAATGGAACTTCATAACACTCCAGCAGCATAATACAGTAATATGACATAACATGTTTTAGCACCAGTAGAACTGAATACAAGGCTTCAGGATCAACATTTGAGTTCTCTGACTGAAACAAAAGAGTGATTTACAAGTTAAACATCTCGATATAGAGACATAAACACTGCCTTGTAAAGTGAGAAGCTCATGTAGCTTTACCAGAATAATCTAGATTATCACTTTGCAGGCAGCAGCAATAGATGCTTACCATCAGATCTAAATGATTCACTGTGTCTGAATGACTAAAATGCAAACTGTTCTTTGCTACATTTGTTAAAAGGTAAATATCTTCTTCAGGTTGATCTTCAGAGGACGTTTACATTCCGCAACTCCAAGCAGACCTACACGGGCATCCCCATTATTGCAGCCAACATGGACACCACAGGAACGTTTGAGATGGCAAAGATTTTCAGTAAAGTGAGTGAAAACTCCAAGGTTGATGAATTTAAAGAGTTTGTGAGCAATCATGATCTGTTTCTATCTTTAGCACACCCTCTTCACAGCCATTCAGAAGCACTACTCTGTTGAAGACTGGACAAACTTCGCTGCTAATCACCCAGAATGCCTAGAGGTAAGATCGCAAATAGTTGTTTTGGGACTTAAGGTTTTTATTCTAAGTAACAAGAACAGTAATATATATATATATATATATTCACTGAAAGCTGTTTTAATGCTCCCACAGCATGTAGCTGCCAGCTCAGGGAGCGGTAATGCCGATCTGGAAAAGCTGTGTTCCATCTTGGAGGCCGTTCCTGCCCTCAAGTACATCTGTTTGGACGTGGCCAATGGCTACTCTGAGTACTTTGTTGAGTTTGTCAAGACAGTGAGAGAAAAGTTTCCCAAACACACCATCATGGTAAGAACGACCCTTCTCGGAGCAACAGATCAACTCCTGGTCTTTATCTGATATATCACTGCTGGTTCCCAGGCTGGAAATGTGGTAACGGGGGAGATGGTGGAAGAGCTCATCCTCTCTGGTGCTGATATAATCAAAGTGGGCATCGGGCCAGGTGAGGGAGTTTTAACGTTAACTGAAAATAGTCTGAAACTTTTAAGTTTCTATCATGAGACAGAAACTCTGAAGATGGCAGGTTTTTGTTGCTGCAACAACTCAACACATGAAGCTGGACAAGATGGACTAATGCATGGACAGTGTATTCTTTATGTCTTCATAGGTTCTGTGTGCACAACCAGGATCAAGACAGGAGTTGGTTATCCACAACTCAGCGCTGTTATAGAGTGTGCAGACTCAGCTCATGGACTCAAAGGACACATCATCTCTGTAAGCTGTCCAGATGAGAAGTAGTTTGGCCCTCATGACTCTTCCTACTGTCTTAACATGAACCATACAATTAGCCGGTTTAATTGTAATAAAACCAAAGATTGACATCTTATAATTGGACCTATTGAACAGTTTATTTTTAACCAAAGAAAACATCTAAAATGCCCTAAAAGACTCCTTATTATCAGCTGTTCTGTTTGTTTACACTATTATTTTCTAGTTGCTATTTTGGTCTTGATTGAAATGAGATTGTTGCACCTATTTTTGTAGATTAAAGCAGGTTTGGGTTTCTAATTTGCAAATTCTGAACTGCAACCAGAGGATAGTATGTATGCCAGTAAATGTTTTAATACACTCCATAGTGGCAACTGACTTGATCTGAGGTGAGCTTTCTGCAGAAATATTGTGGGGAATAAAAGTGAACTGGCTGTTTGCAACATTAAAACAAGACAGCAGATGGCAGCATCAGTCCATCCATCCATTTTTTTTACCCGTTTATTCCATTTTGGGTCACGGGGGTCGCTGGTGCCCATCCATCCATCCATCCATTTTCTTTACCCGTTTATTCCATTTTGGGTCACGGGGGTCGCTGGTGCCCATGTCCAGCAATCACTGTGCGAGGGGCGGGGTACACCCTGGACGGGTCGCAAGTCCATCACAGGGCCACATAGAGACAAACGAGACAAACAACCATTCACTCTCTCACTCACACCTAGGGGCAATTTAGAGTTACCAATCAGCCTAACATGCATGTTTTTGGTCTGTGGGAGGAAACCGGAGTACCCGGAGAAAACCCACACATGCACGGAGAGAACATGCAAACTCCACACAGAAAGGCCCCCGGACCGGGGTTTGAACCAGGGACCTGCTCGCTGAGAGGCAGCAGCTCTACCAGTTGCGCCACCGTGCTGCCTGCAGCATCAGTCGGTCAAAGCTATTAGAATAAACTATCCATGAAAGACTATTTATGGATTGATGTATTCACTGTTTAGGACGGTGGTTGCAGTTGCCCAGGAGATGTAGCAAAGGCCTTTGGTATGTAATAATGCCACACGTCGTGACACTTTATGCAGTTTGAACACAAATATTCACCTGCTCTGTTTTGCCACTTCACTCCTCAGGTGCCGGGGCAGACTTTGTGATGATGGGAGGAATGCTCGCAGGCCATGACCAGTGCTCAGGAGAGATCATTGAGAAGAATGGCAAGAAGTACAAACTCTTCTACGGGATGAGCTCTGACACAGCCATGAAGAAGTACGTGGGTGGAATCGCTGAGTACAGGTGAGAGATGCATGGTCAACAACTTCAATCAGATGCAGCGATAAATAAATAACTGTTCATCAATTGAAACCTTTGTTTCTTATAGAGTCTTGCTTTATCTTGGTTTTCAGGGCGTCCGAGGGGCGGACGGTGGAGGTTCCTTACAGAGGAGATGTAGAAATCACCATCCGTGACATTCTGGGGGGACTCCGCTCCACCTGCACCTACGTGGGCGCAGCCAAACTCAAGGAGCTGAGCCGCAGAACCACTTTCATCCGTGTCACGCAACAGTCCAGTCACATGTTCTCTTAGGAGAGGAAATATCCTCCCCTGCTCCAAACAAGCCCACTGGCTGCATCATATTGTGCATGACTATGCAAGGGTGTCTGCTCAGGGTGTCGAAAGGCTCCAAATTCAGCCAAGTTTGACATGCAGTCACTCATTTTATCCACAAAGCAAGTGTATTCACATGCTTATAATTAGGAATGTATTGTGGTTTTGGATGAGGATGAGCAAATATCAGGCTGCATTTAAAATTTACAGGATAAATGCTTCCCAGTTTGTGGGAAATGAAAGTACAAAGAACGTACAAAATATCAGGGATGTACAAAAATGTTCAGCTGGTTTTGCAAGATTTTATCTGGAGGAGGATGAGGTCAATCAGGGAGTGACTTATTTGAAATGAAGGAAAGCAATGCGCAAAAAATGAACAACTCCACATTTTCTCTGGAGAAATCATGTGGTAATAAACTCACTGCAGAAATCTGTTTATTCCCTCAGTGTTGTTTGAGATTCTTTAAAGCATCTCCAAAGGAGTCAGTGTTTGCATTCGTCTGCATGTAGTTTCAGAGACGAGGAGGAGCACTTCTGGATTCAAACACTTCAAATATTTAGCTGATTTGAGATGCAGCTGCTTTCAAACACACACATCCTACTCATCTGCACTGCTTTTAGTGAGCCTGGTCGTTTAAAATCAACCACGAGCAAAATTTGTGCCTCTTGTACCAAAAACCCTTTAATTGTAGAAAGCACTTTAAATAAGAGTTGCATTGTTCATTACAATGAAAGCAACAGAGCAAATGACAATGTGTCTTCTCTGTGTGAAAAATAAAGTGTAAATGTACTTACTTTTGGCTTTTTGAGTTTAAATTGTCCTTTTTTTGTGTGTGAAGTGAAATTGACAGCTTGGATTTGAGACAAAATCCACTGTTCTTGCATCATCAAATTATGGTTTAGAATAAATAAGAAAATGAAGAGAAATATGAAACATGCAGCCAACAATGCAATATGTAACACAGCTTTTAGGCTAAATGTTGTCTGAAAAACAGGCAACATTCTGCATAGATTTCAACTGTGTGCCTTTTGAAAGAGCTCTGTTATGCAGTCCAGACCTGCTTTCTGCTGAAAACATAAAACACAATAAAGTAATCTCCGAGTCCTTTAAATACTTATCTAAATAATCCACTGTTTTTTTCACATGATTGTACTGTTTAATTGTACTTTTTGAAAATTGGCGCTAGGCAACGTACTTCTCAGTAATTAGTAACTTACCTGTAGTAGGCAGACATCTTGAAGAAACAAGGATATAGTTCCAACTGAGGAAGTAAGTTGATACAACGCTTAAAAACAGCAATAAACTAAACGATCGGGTTCAGGAGCAAAAAATTTTAAAATCAGCAAATACAGCAGCTGTTTGCATCTGGATGAAATGTTTGAGTTTTAGTTATTTTTGTGGTTCAATAATCATCCAAATATGTGGATAATAATAATGTGTTATGCGTTGTCATCATTGTATGTTCTAATGGCAAAATTGGCTCTCTGTATTTAACCCATCGCACCTGGGATACACTCAGGTGGAGCAGTGGTGGGTTATTGGGGGCACCCAGGGAGCAATTGTGGATGGGGTGTTCTGCTCAGAGACACCATGAGATGTGCAATGACTGGGGATCGAGCCTGAGACTTTTGGATCCTGAGTCGGCTGCCCTGCCTCTACCCCATCTCGGCCCCCAGTTTCAGTTCCCCTGATCCAGTCTGATCAGAGGTTGCCCTGAATCTCATGTACAAATTTCTCAATTTCTATGAACACATTATGCTAAAAAGGGATTTAAGCTGGCAAAATAGCAACTATTAAAATGCTTTCGTATCCCATTAAAAAAAATAATTTGAACAACTTGTATTCCATTAAGAATTATCTACAAGACAATCCTTTTTAAATGTGTGCTAATTCTGAAGCATAAAGACATTTTTCTGTTAAAAAGCTCAAGTTCACTTATCCCATGTTATTTAGAATCAGCTGCATGAAACTCAATCTTCTCATTGAGTTTGTAATTCAATCTACCATCCATTAGAGGGGGCTAGTGCCTGATCAATTTCAAAAGTCCAATCAGAAGAGGTAAAAGGGGCCTCATGTACAAAGACTTGCATGGATTTCCTACTGAAACATGGCGTACATTTAAATCAAGAAAACAGTGTACGCATAAAAAAATCCAGATGCGTTTAACCGTGTGTACACATGAACCCAAGGACACTTCCTCTGTACATCCCAGTCAATGTAGTACTGAGCGCACATGAGGTGATATCTGACTCCTCCCTTGACATGCCTCCATTTAAAAATGTAGACAGATTAAAATATGCCCTGCACCTGAGGAATCTCCTCTCTTCACTATCGAAAAGCACGTCTAGATGGGAAAAAGAGGAACTTCATGGAATGTGAGTTGGAGACGCTTCTAAATGAGGTAGAGGCTCGTAAAAACAATCTGGCACGCTGTCTATGGCATTAGCGCCAAGCGCAAGAGGAGCGGGACAATGTGACTGAATGATTTATTTATCGATTGATTGAATGAAAATGCTTCCTGTTAACAATTCATCCTGTGAATGCTTTTATGGCATTGTGAGTGCAGTCGATAGTTCTGATTACATTAGGAAAACTAGCTGCCACTGCAAGTTGTGCTTTAATGTTGATCTGTTCAGCATTGTAGCGAATTTGATATACCTGGTTGACATATGGATCATTCCATCCCACGGCTGGCATGGCTCGGCTCAGGATCGACTGATACAGTCCTGATCAGTCTGCCAGCTCCCTCTGGAATGCCCCTGTTGTTAGGAACCTCTGTGTGGTCGGCAGCTGGATGTGTACAGGCAGTGCACAGCGCCTCGCTGTGTCACGCTCCAAGATCGGCCGCAGTTCCAAAAGATTGCCCTTGGAAGCCAAAATGGCATATGAGCCAGTCGTCATCGTGGACCAGAAAATCCTGTCTCTAAATACAAGCTCTCTGTGTATGGCACCATTTGCTATATCCTCTAATAAGGCTGAAGCCATTGTTGTTACAGGCATTTTCTAAATCTCTTTGATCATGCTTTTATATCTGCTCATCTAACTGCATACATGTGGAAGTATCAGTTGTTCATCATGTGCATCCAATGTGTACAATAATAGTTTTTATCATTAAGTGTTTCCCAGTATCACCTCTGTCGACAATGGACCAGTAACCATTGAAATGTGCGTTCGCCAGTTGTGAAGTTGGCGTGGGGCTGCGCACGTTTCCACATTTATTCTTGATACATTTGAAGCTTTGAGAGATAAGAGGGTGTGCGCCATGTTTCTGTGCGTATGCACCTTTGTCCATGAGACCCCAGCTGTCTAGATGTGAGGGTTTAAAGACAACGTTGAAGATGAATATTAAAAAAAAGACACAGTTTGTCCATTTCTTCCAGATATGTCAAGGTTTCATTTTTCCTTTTCAAAGAGGTGCATTTACACATATGTCAAATACATACACCAACAGAGTTTCTCCATTGCTATAGAGGAATAGGATGGTGAGACACAGGGGACTTGGTGAGAACAGTATAGTACAAACAAGATGGCTGGGATCCGCTGCAGGCCAGACTGTCCATGTCGGACTGTGCTGATGTCTGGATCTCTGCCACAGCGCCAGGAAAAGTTCAGTTTAGTGCTTGGTGTAGCAGATTAGCAGAGCCGTATTTACGGTAGACAAGCCTCACGGCTGAGTGTTCAGAACAGGTATGGGGAACCAGATGAGCCACCCAGCTAACAGATAAAGCCCTGCCCCCTCCGTGGCAGTAGGCGGGGTCAGAGGCCTGTCTTCCTCGTGTTTGTTTCCTCGCCATGCACAGAGGCGGAGCAGAGACAATCAGTACGCTGAAGAATTATCCAAGGCATCTCCAGCAGATTACACATTATAGAATAATTTATAGGTATCGGTCCATTAGACATTTGTCAATCAAATATCAAATTATACATGATAAATTTACATACCATATGACCCATATTAAACAGCCCACTATTCAAATTGATTCAGGTCAAACTAAACTGGGCATGTACACTTTGTTTTCCTTTCTATTTTTATTTGTTTTTCTGCCTGAGTTGGTTATCCAGCGCTATGGACATCGAAAAGACAAAGACAAGGGAATTAAAAAGAGAAAAAGAGAAATTCTGATCAAATTCTAGTCCATTTTAAAACACAACAAAGTGCCAAAAATGAAGATTTTTTTTATACCTCAAAATAAAGAGTTCACGTCTTTTTTTCTGATCAAACAGCTCACACACCAACATTCATTTTATTTAAGTTGTGCAAGAAGAAACCAAAAAAGGAAAAGATGTTATCAGTGGTGCTCCTCCAGTGAGGAAGCTCGTCATAAGAATCAACAATGACACATTCTTGACATAGTTTTACGTCCCCTGACAATAAACTGAATGCTACAAGGAGACAAAAAAAAAAAAGAAAAGAAAAAGCTCCTGCACCAAAGATTTTGCAAATAAAGCAACCGTTTTTCACGCCTCACAGCCAAACCGAGCTGTCAAACAGATCTGAGCTCAAAATGAATGCACAGAGTGGTGGCCCAGCCTGGTCGGTGTGAGGCGGGAACAATCTTTAAACACGACTAATGAAAGGACGTTTCCCACGAAGGAGGAGGAATCACCTAACGCCTCGGCCTGTTGGACCCAAGAACACGCCGGGCGCCAAGTGAGACGGAGCACAAACAAAGGTTACGGCAAAGGCGATGTGCAAAACTTGAGCCATCTCTTTTATTTTCCATCAATAGTCACCTCCTTTTAAAAAAAACAAAAAAACAAACAAAATCTTTCTCTGTTTTGAATGAACATTACCCCCCAGGACAGGTTTCAGTCTGAGACAGAGGGGTTAGACCGAGCCCATCCTAGGATTAGAAAGTGCTGAAACATTATCAAGTCTTTATACAACTACTTACATGTGCATCTCTGATGATTGTTTTTATTATTTTTCCTTTTTTTTTCTTCTTTTTTTTATTAAAAAACATGGTCCCCATGAGCAATGAGGTTTCTTTTTCCTGTGGGTCTCACCACGAACCATCGAGGGTCAGGGCTTAAGATCTCACAGACAATTAGAGAATAAACACACTCATACGTGTTTGAACACTCTACACATGCAAACACACACACTGAGGAAGGCCACACGGGCTAAAAGGGGAAAGTGGGTACAGGGAAACTGTCATTGTTGGTTTTGTTTCTCTGTAAAACATCCTGACTAGACCATCTCTGAGATGCTTCACATCAACAGACACCAAAGTACAAAAGCTTTTAATGAGGATGAGATACTGGGAGTCTGACTGCACACTTGGCACGGTAAAAGAGGGGAACAAAATGTAAGTATTGCACATTTGATGGGGATAAGAAGGGGTAAACTTGAGTTAGAAATAAAAATAAACTTTCCAAAAAATTATAATAAGATAAAAACTATTGCTCCCTCCTGTATCCCTACATTAAATTTGAAAGGGACGTGAATTTAACCGCAGATATTTACACTGCGTGGTGCCAATTATTAGCTTCTGATCAGACATTAAAAGATGATGTCATGAAAGGAACAGGAAGTCCAGGCCTGATCGCACTGCAAAGGTAGCTAACGGTTGTTCCGGGGCTTATATTCGATTGCTTCGCCTCAGGAGGGAGGTGCTTGTAAGGCTGGCTGGCTATGATTGGGTACCTGAAACAAAGTTAACGAGGTCACTACGTAGTCGTGGCAACGAGGCAGAGCTGGGCCGAGTCAAACACTGCTGC